AAGCTGATTAACGAGGAGACGGATCACCTGATGGTAAGCGATTAACGCCGTGCATGGAGACCCGAAACACCAGAGGCGTTACAAGTGCGTTACCGGCCCTTTGGGGATTAAGAATTTGACGATTGTTGGGATTGGGGAGATTGTGAAGGAGGGGGGTTAATTGGGCGTCCAATAACACACCACTCACACGACTTGAAACAAGGCAACCGTTTTTTTTATGGAATAGGAGGCAAACGCGCAGACGGATCACCTGATGGTAAGCGATCAGCGCCGCCCATGGACACCCTCAATACCAGAGAAGTCACAGGTGCGTTGCCGGAAATTTAAAAAGAGGTTATGCTCTTTTCTTGAAAGCGTTGTTTCACGTCGGTTTTCTGTGAGGCCTTGGTATCACTCCGGTTGAACCGACACAGCAGTGCCGAAGCATAGCTCACCCCTAGTAGTCACGAGGGTATGGGTAGGATATAATCCACAAAATATAAAAGAATACAAAAAGCTAGGTATAATCGTATAATCTGTAGTAGCGTTACGTGGGTGTAATCTACGTTCGCATCTACGCTATTTGTGCAGTTGGAAGACTTACTGTCAATTTCTATAACATATCGTAATCCAAAATATTACTGCTACGCTGCGATCTCTCTATAGATTTAAAAACTTTCTGCCCCCAAATACAAAAGAGTTACTGGTCCGGTCCCTTGTGCTTCCTGTTATCGATTATGCTGATGTTTGTTACTCTGACCTATCCCAAGACCTTCTGAACAAATTGGATCGAATGCTCAATAACTGTATCCGTTTTATCTTCGGTCTTCGTAAATACGACCACATTTCTTCTTTTCGCGATCAGCTAAAATGGCTTCCTATCCGTGAGAGAAGATCTCTTAGATCTCTCTGCATGCTTTTCTCTATTCTGAATGATCCTTGTGCTCCTGAATACCTAAAGTCTTGTTTCCAGGTACTGGGCAGTTCTCACAGCCGAAATCTCCGTTCTGCTGAAAATCTGCTTCTTGAGATTCCGTCCCACCGAACATCCTTCATTTCTAACTCTTTCACAGTTAGTGTAATTAAGTTATGGAACGCATTACCGCTTAAAATAAAAAAGGCTCCAAATAAGATCACTTTCAAACGCGATGTTCACGAATTCTTTTTAAAGTCACTACAACGCTGAGTCTATTCCTATTATATATGTATTATTATAGAATTTATTTATTTAGTATATTTATGTATATACGAGCACACATATATGTTATATATACCTATATATTTATGTTGTATTTATATTGTAGTGTAAATTTTAAATATTTTTAGTACCTTTCTATATTTATAAAGTCTATTTATGTTATTTGTTTCTAATAATTACACATGCCTATTTTTTCGCAGATTTCCATTTTAACCCTAAGGTTGACAGGGAGAGAATGCCATATGGCATTAATGTCCGCCTTATGTACCATCACTTGTTTCTGTGTACATTAAAGTTAAAAAAAAAAAAAAATATATATGGGGTTATCGGAGCTCCAAGCAGGAGTCGGAACGGGGTAGCTTTTAGTCAGTAAAGTCTCATACTCGCTAGATCCAAGGCGGGAGAAGTCATTAAATATTTTTTTATAGGATTAATCGGCAAACGAGTAATCAGAACACTATGGTAAGCAATCTGCGCCGACAGTGGACACCCGAAACACAGAACTGTGGAGTTATAAGAGTGTTGCCGGTCTGTTGAAGGTTGGTGATTTGAGGATTGCAGAGATTGGAGAGGTTGGGGAAGCCGGCACGTCAAGTCAATACTAATATAGTTAGCTCAGTTCTCAGATTGGACTGAGAGATTCTGACGAATCTAAGAAAATACTTCATCATGTAAAAAACCAGAATTGGGTTTGAAAAATTTTATATTTTAGCAAAAACACTATTAAAAAACAAGAAATGAACTATAGAGTAGACATTTCAATCAATATTTTGCATTAACTGCGCTTGCGTTCTGACTTTTCGGAGGATTCCTGTTGGTATTTGATTTTCTATTGGGCAGAGATTTACTATTACCAAACGATAATAACAAATACTTGGCCTCCTTTTCGGCGTCGCTTTTACACATTGGATTTTGCATTCTCCTAACCCAATCACGTTCATTTGGAATCCTGTCTTTTGGCCTCCAAAAAACTTCTCTATCGGAATAATGTCTGACAAGGACAAAGGACACGGCGGCCATTGGCGGGATAAGGAACCGTTTTAAATTAAAATGTCCGATTTTAAGCGGGACTTCATTTTTGATGTAGTAACATTTTGATATTATAAAGTTAGAAGTCGAAGTGAATTTCGCTGTAGCTGTTGCTAACCGTGAGATAATTTCTTTAACCTTCTTTGTCTGTTCTTTTTTTTCATCATGAGATCGTTCGGTGTCCTTGTCTCTTTCGTTGGTGTACGGCTTGTTAACATCGAACTTCGGTTTCGTCCATTCAGTTTTGAAAAAGTTTCTTATTGCTGGCGATTTTTCATTTCGTACTGAAACAATGTTGGTAACATTGAGAGGTGTGTCATGTACAGAGTCGTATTATCAGGCAAGCACCGAGGGCGCCAGGTTAGAGACAGAGGGGCGCCAAGCCGGCGGGACACGTATGTGCGTGCCTAATAGAGAGACGGGCAGGGCTAAAAAAAATAGAGGCGATTATCCTCATAGGCGTCTCTAATTTGTGTTTGTTTTAGGGTGTTCTGTAGGTTTCAATCCCCCTCTGGTCATGTACAATTAATGTACTTAAAATAGTTAAGTAGGTAAATACTTATCACAATAATATTAATGTTTTGAAAGTTTGTCCGTCAATTACGTTAAAACTACTCGGCTGACTAATGTAGGTTATAGGATGCTTTTTATCCTGATTAAATGCTCCCATGGTATAAAGCAAGATTATACAGGTAAAGAGGGGATAAAAGCTAGTTCGTTATAAATGTGTCATTAGTTGTGTAACTTATTATTAAATGTACGTCTAATTCACTACCAACAGCCCGGGCCTCCTCTACATGGGAGGCATTTGATATAATCTCATAGCTTGGCAAGCGCGATGGAAACCGCATTTCAAATGGTTCAGATTTGTCAGAGTCGCTCTCTATCAAAAATTCTAATTAAGGGCCGATTTTTCAATCATCAGTTATTTATTTATTTATGTACTGTAACTGTAGAATAAAATTGACATTTGACACTTTTTAGTATGGAACAATAGGGTAGATGCCTAGAGGTAATTTTTATTTCAATGTCCGTCTGGTAGATTATTTTAAATCATTAGACACGTATTTTTTATTTTCTTACAGAAACGTATACTTTCGACGATACATTGATTTGAAATGTTGCGTGACGTCACTTCTATGTACATACATTTTATACGTAGAAATGACGTTTTAGCCTCCACTCATATACTATGATTCGTTTTATCGAAGTATTGTTTTATAATACGACAAAATAAAAAAATAATAATAATAATCTTTATTGTACACCTTAAAGTAATATAAACATATATGTAGAGTTACAACCAAGAATAGTAGGGCACAAAGGCGGCAATATCACTAAACGCGATCTCTACCAGGCAACTTTTGGGTGAATGGAGCACTGAATGATAGTGGAGGTGATTCTAGGCATACTCAGGTACTTACTTACATCACATACCTATACATACACATACATACATACATACATACCAACATACATAAAAAACGCGTCTAATAATTTTTTATTGCCCAACTTACGGACTAATTTGATTTTTAATGTTCATACCCTGTTATTATCCCAATTGCCAAATATTCAAAGTTATTTCTCAGTTAAGTAATATTGATCTGGCGTTGGAAAAATCGGCCCTTAAGGTTCATTAGGTACCAGTACCATGTTTGTTGGTATGTTTGCATGTCGAACTCAAAAACTAATACAAGTATTGGCTATGTGCAAAGCGGGTAGTCGCGGACAGACAACGACCGCAGCGCACAACACGGCAGAAATTGGAAACAAATGGGGATGATCAGCTGTCAAATGTATAGATTGCAGTACAATATCAAAGCAAAGAAATGGACCATGGCTCGTATTAAGTAGCTCTGGCCGTTATGTCGCAGTTCTTCCACATTTCTTACATGCTAGGCTAATACTATTTTATTGCCTTCTGTCTCAGTTTGTGGTTGGAAACTAATATTATGTGTAATAGTTTCAAACCCGGTTTTTATTAATATATTCATTTAGGACAGTAAAACTATTGAAGAAATTGCTCTTAAATAATGTCAACAATACTATTTTCATTTCTGTTTTTTTTTTATATTTGCTAAGAAAATTATAATGTTTACATTGTTATTATTTGGCAGCATCCGCAAATGTTGTAAACGCTACGCGTCGCCACCGTCGTGCACATAGCCAATAGTGGTTCATGGTGGCGATTAATCTCAAGACCTTATGTTTACGGTTGCAGCCACTAGTCACTCGACCAAATAGGTATGTTTAAGGTAAAGTACCTATCTAGGAAGAATTATTTATTGTTGTAGATCATACGGGTAAGTCCTATTTGCAAATTTATAACTTCTATTTTCCTGTTTTTATGTATTCCAAACAGCTGTACCTACATAATTCAGATTTGTGTTTTGCATAATGAATTACTTTTTTATTTTGTATGACGTATTATTGTGCGCCTAGTTGCCATAAGCAATAGGGTAGTTGCCAAGGTATGAAAATTAAAAAACAAGTCAGTCAGTTAGATAATTAAAAAATAAGATGTTTTTATTTTCTCTTAAAAAGTTTTATATAAAATGGAGTTAGTAAGTTATAGGAGTTTAGGAGTGGGAGGTCGATACATATTTCAGATTAATATATCGTCGAAAGTATTTAATTTTGTGAGAAAAGAAAAAATACGTGTATAATGTTTTAAATTATTCTACCAGACGGACATTAAAATGAAATTTAGGAAACTACCCTATTTGAATGGGCCTACCAGCGTGAACTACTTAGTGATAAAACTTAAATAAAATAAAAACAACCATTTGGAGGAAATCATTCAATTTATTTTCGCTGTTTATCATCCTTTCTGATATCTCTTCTACAGGTTATGAAACCTGTCAGAACTGGCCAATGTCATACACTCTGTTCTCTCCTACTGAAACAGCGAAACAATCTATTAATGAAAATGATTTCTTAGGAAAACCCTCGCAGGGTTTTAAATTACACGGCGGATCAGGATTCATCTTCCCCCGTGGAGGTGGACAGGATGGGCAGCCAGCCTGACACGGAGGTTTCCTCTTGCATGGTGGCTTCGGAGCTGGCCAAGAGGGGATCGGTGTCCACGGCGCGTAGTCTCTAGCCAGCATTGTTCTATGTCCTGGATGACTTGTACTCACAATGCTTCCGATATCGAACATATTATGTGCTCTCCCCTGTCGCAACAGTCTACCTAGAACCTTACCCAAAGTCTGGAGTTTCTCAATCACCTCTAACGTCAATTCAGCTTTTAAACGCGTAGCACACACTTCAGCTCCAATGTCCTTCATTTCACAAACCATTTCTGCTTGCATTTCTGCTATTGGGACGTTAAACTCAGGCCCCAGACGCAAACTAGATGATAGATCCATGTCACAAGACGAGCATTTTCTCGTACGAGGTTTTCGTGGTTTACAACTGGGTGGGCGCCGCGGGGGAGTAGGTAAGCCGAAGAGAGGCGGCGGTACTGGGTTGGCCGGTGGGGACCTGGGCGCTGTGGGCGGACATTGAGGTGCCTTCTTTGGACATTTGCCTACTTGGGCTTGGATAGGATCCACTTCAACTCCCAGAGCCTTGAGATCGTTCCTGCATTCAATTATCCTATTTCTTTCCCTCACTCTTTTCAAGAGCTCTGATAGTGATACATCCTCGTTCAACTTGGGCAGCTTGGGCAGGTTACTGAGATTGAGTTCTTTTGGTTTAGTATCCTGTTCATATACAGCCTCGGTTGACTTCATTAAACGGCTGGGTTCGGGTTTAGGTGAAATAGGACAGGTCTCGTTGTATGTCAGAACGTAGCGGGGATCTAACTGTTTTTTCGTTAATTCTTCCGGCAAACGATTATCTTCCATTTTCACTTTAGGCGTTAATGCATCCACATTTTCATCCCAAATGCCGTCTGATACATTTGAATTAATTTTATAGTGTTGCTGTAATGGGGGCGGATTCATGTAATTTGTTTCCGGTTTCGGCACAGGATCTTCTTCCGGTATACTGAGTGGTGAGAATAACTTTTCGTCGTTTATTTCTTTTGCTGCTTTCACGTCTTTCTGTATTTGCTCATCTGCAGTGTTCAACCGTGCATTTAGTGTCTGGTTTTTACTAGGAAGAACCCTATTCGTGAGGTTCATTGAGAGGTATGTGTGAGCTTTGTCCGTTGGTTTAGAAATACTTTTACGACTGTATTTTACCTCTGGCTTCCGTTGAGAGTTCCACATGCTGTTTGCGGTCGATGATTGGTAGTATAAAGGTTTTTCCCTTCCTTTAGCGTAAGATTTTTTAAGACGCTTATTGCATAATGTAGACTTATCGGTCTGTACAACGTATCTATAGCCTGCTTTTGCGAACGGGTTCCATGGTGTAGTTACTGGCGATTCTTCTACCTTCGATTCTGTTAAAGCTTCTTTAGTTCCTTCCAAGTCTGGTTTAGCATAAAACTGTTGCGTTTTTAATTTCTTATTGGGTTCATTTATTTCTGTTTGGTTCATATATAGCTTTGGATTTTGGCACGGGACCCATTTTGGAGGCTCTCGCATTAAAATATCAGTAGCAGCCATAAAGGGAATTTGTCCAGGCTTAACCTGTGCAGCATGTGTTGTGCGATGGGTATGAATGCCTGGTTGTTTTAATTCTGGAGTCTCCGTTTCTAGATCGTCAATTTCCTCTAATCGTATATCGTAATTTTTATCTATATGTGTATGACTTGGATATATAGCCAAGGACTCCGCCTCTTCTTCAGCAGCTAGTTTCATAGCTAGTTCTTTAGCCTCAGCGTCTTTGTCAGGTAGTAATTTTTCTTGGTTATTTAATGACATTGGTTGTCCTGGGTGCATACCTTTATCTGAATGAACACACTTACGTAATGTATCCATTTGAACTCGATTGTCATCTATAGCTGGAGAGCGTGGTTGGTTTGGCGTGGTTATGGGAATGCCAAGCTTTTCCAATTCGTTGAGGAGTGCTTCATCAATTTGACCAACTGGACTGTCCAGACAACGTTTGGCCGCTTCATCTAATTCACCCGTGTCCGATTTCTTACCAGCCATAAGATTTACGTGCTTGTTCTTAATCCACCGGTAGGCTTGCTCTAATTCCCCCAAGACTCTTGGAGTTATACTAAATCCTTCAATGGGTTGTTTCTGAGCTTCAACTAATGGTGTTTCTTCAATATGTTCTACTTTCTGTGTTAATTGTTCCTTTTCTTCTTTCGCAGTTGTCGTATTAACAAAGGTATTATTCCGAACGGGTCGATGTAAATAGGTATCCAAAATTTGGTTAAACTTTTTGTCGCTGTCGACAAAAATGTCCGTATCAGCAGTGTTAGGCAAGTATATTCTTTTTAATATGGAGAGGTCGGTTTTACGTTCCAAGCTTGGGATATGACTGTTACATTTATTTATTACTGGTGGTTCATCTTGTTCCTTTTTAGTTTCACCTATGTCTATCGTATGAGCTGCATTTTGTTTTGATTCTTCATGCGTTTCGTACAACGTTTTCTCTAAGTTTTCATGGTTATGTACATACTTATCTACTTCTTCTTTGGTAATAGTTTCATCCAGATGCAAATTCTCATTGGTCAAGTCTTTATTATTTTCCGTGCCCTTTATTAAGTCGTCAGGAGTTCTAGCAGACATCAAGCGTTGATTCATCGTTGGCTTCATAGGAACGAAACCTTCATCGGGGTCTGTATTAAGGATTTTTGGTTCCGTTTTTACCACGGTCTCCTTCGCCGTCAGTTTTTCAGGGACTTCCTCCAATTTTGGAGACGTTTCGAACATTGCAAACTGTATTTTCTCATCATTTATTATGTTTTCTAATATGTCTGTATCAAGGATTTTAGGCTGTGTTTTTACCACAGACTCCTTCATTGTCAGTTTTTCATGTACCTCCTTCAATTTCGGAGTCGTTTTGAACATTGCAGACTGTGTTCTCTCGTTGGCTATTTTCTCGTCAGTTATCATGTTGTCTATTAAGACAGTATCAAGGATTTCCGGCTCAGCCTTTACCATAGACTCCGGCGCCGTCATCTTGTTTGTTATCAGGTTTTCTGATAAGCCTGTATCAAGAATTTTCGGCTCTGATTTTACCGCAGACTCCTTCGTCATCAGTCTTTCAGGTACCTCCTCCAATTTACACGACGCTTTGAACAATGCAAACTGTAATCTCTCATCGGTTACTATATTTTGTAATATGTCTGTATCAAGGATTTTAGGCTGTGTTTTTACCACAGACTCCTTCATTGTATGTTTTTCATGTACCTCCTCCAATTTCGGAGACGTTTTGAACATTGCACACTGTGTTCTCTCGTCGGTTATTCTCTCGTCAGTTAGCATGTTGTCTAATAAATCTGTATCAAGGATTTTCGGTTCGGCCTTTACCATAAACTCCGGCGCCGTCATTTTTTCAGGTTCCTCTTGCAATTCAGGAGACATTTTAAACATTGCAAGCTGTGTTCTCTTGTTGGTTATCATATTTTCTGATAAGCTTGTTTCAAGGATTTTAGGCTGTGTTTTTACCGCAGACTCTTTCGCCGTCAGATTTTCAGGTACCTCCTCCAATTTACACGACGTATTGAACAATGCAAACTGTGTTCTCTCGGTGGTTATCATATTTTCTGATAAGTCTGCATCTAGAATTTTTGGCTCCACCTTTACCGTAGACTCCGGTGCCGTAATTTTTTCAGGTTCTTCCTTTAATTCAGGAGATGTTTTGAACAATGCAAACTGTGTTCTCTCGGTGGTTATCATATTTTCTGATAAGTCTGCATCTAGAATTTTCGGCTCCGCATTTACTATAGACTCCTTCGCCGTCAATTGTTCATGTACCTCCTCCAATTTCGGCGACGTTTTGAACATTGCAAACTGTGTTCTCTCAGCGGTCATTCTCTCGTCGGTTACGTTTTCTGATAAGTCTGTATCAATGATTTTCGGCTCAGTTTTTACCATAGACTCAGGCGCCGTTAGTTTTTCAGGTTCTTCCTCCAACGTTTTAAACATTTCAAACTGTATGCTGTTGTCGGTTTTCATATTTTCTGATAAATCTGCATCAACGATTTTAGACTCTGCCTTTAGTTTATCCGTCAGTTTATCAGGTACCTCCTCCAATTTAGAAGCAGTTTCGAAGAATGCAAACTGTGTTCTGTCGTCGGTTATCCAGCTTTCTGCTAAGTTTAGCTGTTCTGACTTAATTATTTCTTGCTTTGTCTGTTCTATGTCGACGCCCTTCGAAAAATAATGTTCAGTTAGTTCTGGTTCTTCAACTTCTTCTTTTCCAAAGGCTTTTTCTATAATTCTTTGGCATTTTTCGTATTGTGATTTCTTTAGAGCTCTTTGCATATTGACTAAGGGTCCGATAGGTTCGTTTATATCACTGACATTAATTACTTCGATATTTTTGTCCAGTGAGGGTTTCTTCATCACTGTGGCATCATCGTTGTCTTTCTGATTCGTTTCATGAGTACCCTCATCTGTAGCTTTTGTACTTTTCGGTGATTTCTTTACTGCAGCACATGACACTGAAAAATAGCGAAAAAAGCCGTGAGTTTGTTACAAGAAATGAGTAAATGGTTGGTTTTGAAATATTAATTTTTATAATTTAAATATCATCGCGGGCTTTTTCCGCCATTTTTCTCCGTTCGTCTGCCTTTTTAAACGGTTTCAAAATAGCCAAGTTACAAAATATGATTGGTTATAATTATGGTTTCAAAAAACCGCGAAATATTGTGCGTTTCAAATATAAAATAAGACAGAAAATCTGTAATCCTTCTGGATCGGGAATACATTTTGATAACTTAACTAACACAACAAAATGGTAATAAATTCAGGGATCCTAAACTAAAAGTATAATATTACACATAATGAGTCCTTTCATTTTTATTGTAAGACAAATAAACTAAAACTCTTATCAATTTATGGGTAATATGTTAATATTACAATGGCAATCGTATTTTACCTCTCCAGGTGGCGCATATGTATTCAGAGGTTTTTTTTATGGAATCAGAGGCCAGAGGCAAACGCATCTCGTTTCATCACGGATCACCTGATGGTAAGCGATCAGCGCCGCCCATGGAGACCCGCAACACCAGAGGAGTCACAGGTGCGTTGCCATTCTTTTAAAAAGGAATACGCTCTTTTCTTAAAAGTTTGAAGGTCGTATCGGTTCGGAAATACCGCCGACGACAGATTATTCTACAGTTTTGCTGTGCGAGGCAGAAAGCTACGCGAGAAGCGTATAGTTGTGGCCTGCCAACTATCTATATGATAGAGATACATATGCTGTCGTGAGCACAGCAGTTGTCAAATAGTGAACACCCAATGGTGTAACACTGGCTAATTCTCTATTGAACTAAGAACGAGAGGTTCAGACTAGTGTCATCTAATGAGCAAAAATACGTTAGCCCCAATTGGTAGGGTGAGCCTCAAATTTGTAAATAAAGGCAAAAGTCGTTGTCAGAAGACTAGACGAATGACGCAGAGGAAGATTTAACACCTCGAGGTCACTAAAAATTTTCCTGTTTGACTGGGCACATGTTTCCAATATACGTCACCTAATATGGAAAAAGTAGGGAAAATTCTCTAGCCAAATACAATGAGAGTACCTAATAAAAATACGAAAGGGACAAGGTGTTTTTCAAGGTGTTTCCTAAATTTTATTTTTATGTCCGTGCGCTAGATTAATCCAAAACATTAGACACGTATTCTTTTACGGCATAAACCGGTAAACGAGCAGGCGGATCACCTGATGGTAAGCAATCGGCGTCGCCCATGGACACCTGGAACACCAGAGGCATTACAAGTGCGTTACCGGCTTTTTGGGGATTAGGAGTTTGAGGATCGTTGGAGATTCAGGGATTGGGGATTTCTTCTTTTCTTAAAGAATTAAATACTTTTCGACGATATACATATTTATTTGAAATACGGTGTGTCGTCACGATTTACTACATTTTGTTTTATGGAATAGAAGGCAAACACGCAAGCGGATCACCTGATGGTAAGCGATCAGCGCCGCCCATGGACACCCTTATCACCAGAGAAACATAGATGCGTTGCCGGCCTTATAAGAAGGAATACGCTAAATTTAATTGAATAGGCGACGAGTTAGCTACTCGCACACCTAAACTTAAAATCATCATTCAAATTGTTTTTTCTTATGTGATAAAATAAAAAAGTCTATAATATTTTTTTGTTATATATATCGGATGTACTAAATAGTTTTTTTTAATTTTCAGACCCCATCCACTACTTTATTTAGTCTGTTTGTTACAATACTCTTTTTATCCTAACTGCTTAACCAATGTTCTCGATTTTTTGCATAAACTTCGGAGTACAAAGAAGAATTATAAGTAAAATTTAAAAGGGCAAGAGCTAATGTAATAGAGGTTCGGTACAGGTTAGTAAAAAAGAGTTTGGAATAATAGAGGTCGCTAGTATCGTACCTGTGGCAACCTGGTACACTACGACTCAATAGGTTATGATAATCGAGTATAAAAAGACGAGGAACTATGTTCGGATGATTGTTTATTCATGGTATATGGCCCAAAGTACCTACTTAGTTAGTAGTATAATAGTTCCACCTGTCACCGCGTCAAACTCTATTTTGCCAAGCTGTAAATAATATAATTATATTTCACATTTACCTGGTGTGATCCGCTGCTCGTTGCCACGTAAGATACGCGGCACAAGGGCAGCGGTGTTGCATACTTTTTTGATTCTTGATAAAAAATTTGTACGCAACATCATTATGGAGCTACATTTATAAAATTTTGTATGATAATCAGCGAAAATAATTAAAATTAATACATTTTTCTGAATTCTTGACAAGGCTACCTACATTAAAATTTGACAAAGAATGCTTTTGTTCGGCTTTTTTATTACAATTTCGATGCTCTTCAATTTGATTTTTATCTTCCTTTCTGCTGCCAGTGATATTTTTTATTATTCTTTAAAAGAGTTTTTAACTGGGCTCATAAGGAAGGAAGAAATTTTCAGACTGTTATCGGCCAGAAAAGCAAGGGATGGGCATTGGGCAGCAGTATCTAGCAGCAACCGTCATATACATAGGCAAATTAAAAGTCAGAATAATCAGTGCCGTCCATGGCCACCCGTAGCCCCCAACATCAAAGGAGCTAGTGAGCGTAAACTCACTCAGTTACTGACATGGCGAAATATAACTCAAACGTTATTATGCGCCTGTTTTCTATATGTACGTGGTCTATCCCTAGTTGAACTAAATCGTTTGTGCCGAAGAAATAAAAAGGCCATGTTTTTATTTATTTTCAGTCATGATCGGTCCACTGTAGGGCAAAGGCCTCCCTACCCTCCTTCCACTCCTCTCTATGTAAAGCTTTTTGCGGTCAATCCTTGTCATAATGTCTAATTCGTCCCGCCATCTCCTTTTGGGCCTGCCGCGACTTCTACTGACGTTAAGTGGGCCCCACTCAACGTCAAAAAGGCCATGTATCATTTAGTAAAACATGAATCCCTAAGCCAAGGACACACTAGGAGACAATGTCCTGCGACACATGTCGCCAGCTACGTTGTGTGAAGTAACGCGACGTTGCCGAACATAAGGCGCGCGTTGTCGCATTATTATAATAGATATGTAGGGCGAAATTGACATGTCTTAGCTCTTGGCTGAGCTTAGGCTGTGCGTGCCGGATAGGTATGTGTGGCGTCGGCGACGGCCGCAGTTGTTGGTGGTACCAACAGCCCGCACCGAGCTTCTAAAGCAAGCTCCGATGACACGCGCGATACGCACACTAAATGCAATAGCGGAGCAGATTGATTTGTTTCACTGTTCGGTGAGTGACTTCACAAGGGTAGCGTATTCGGTGATATGTTATTAATGTTATTATAATAATTTAGAATTGTAGTTTCGTTTTAATTATATATATTTTATGTCCTTGTATGTATGTTTGGTCTAAGGATACTGCTGTTATTAACTTTATTTGCATGTTTTGTTTAATGTAAGTAGCTTCTCTGTCACATTAGGTTATACCTGTAATGATAGATGTAAGTGTGATAATAAATAAATAAATAAATAAAAAATAAATAAATAAATGTCGCCGACACATTGACTACACGATTGCGGCACGGCTGCCGGGTTCGATTCCCGCATGGAGCAACTTTTTGTGTGTTCCACAAATTGTTGTTTCGCGTCTGGGTGTCATGTGTATGTGATATTATATGTTTGTAAACGCACCCACGACACGACACGACACGGGAAAAAATCGTAATGTGGGGCTATGTTTAATAAAAAATATGTCGTGGGACATTTGTCCCCTAGTGTATCCTTGGTTTTACCCAGCAAAGAAAAGTCTTATTGGTTGGATACTCTAAGGTTCTGCCTTTGATCTTGACAGAGTTGAAGCAAAGGAATCCTGGTTTGAAAATTGATTGACTGACTGACAGACTATTATTTATTTTGTATTTTTTGACGTTTCAAAAGAACCAAATTACGGTTTAATTAAAATAAATGCTTTGACTTTGACTATGAAAACTAAATTCAAAATTATTTTTGTCAATATTTTTGTAAACGTATAAGAATAAAAAAAAATGTTGGAACCAAACCCAAAACTTTTAAAACTGAACGCAGTTTTTCAAGTGAACGTGCTGTTGTTACAACGTTTTATTATACTTTTTGCACGCAGTATATCTTGTTACGTTACAAATTTTAAGATGGTGCAATAGTTTGGAAACATTGTAGTCGACTATCAGCATTATTTCTCACATCTTTTCATGAAGGCAAATTTATTTAAATTAATTTAGTGTGATTTTTATAGATTCGTTAAAGTACGATACAATACGTATTCTTATAAGACAACTTCAATGTAACGAAACGTCATTTCAAATGCAAGAAAATAACAAAGATGGCTGAAGAACAGGTGAGAACCAAAATATTATGATTTTTAAATGATTTTATATGAATTTACAATAAATACTAGGATTAGCTCGACTTTAAAACCTCATAAATAAATGTAGTGAACAGGTTTTTTGGTTGCCACCATAAATTTCATTGATTTCGTCTTAATTATTTGATGTTTGTGCTTGTGAAGTGTTTTTGGTGCGTTAATATTTCTTTTGTGGCATTATATAGGCTTTTTATCAATTATAACAATGTTTATTTAATGTTTACGGGTGGTTTGTTAGTCGATGATGCCGGCACTTTGGTTATTTGGCTATGTTTACACACGTATCCTTGAACAGTAATCAAAAGTCTCTTGATGTTTGATAGCGTTCGGCCCCCTAGTGCGTTTCGGAAATTGCAATGCTCAATTTCATATTTTCTAAGATTTAACCTCGATCGTTTGTGGAACATTACTTTAGCACATTTATTTGTGTTTATTTTATAACATTTCGTCTCAGTATTTGCAGAACAAAAATATATCAACGACAATATATTGTCTCACTAAAAGGATTGATTTCGTTTTAATCTTATTAGTATTTTGAGTTATGTAGCATCGCTCTTATTAGACTCCTAAGGGTAGGTCAGTTTTCCTAGTTCTTATTTAATAATATTATTAGCATGTAGCATGTTGTAGGGATCAAACCAGTCACTAATCTTTATGAGTTATGAGTTAAGAATTTTATCAAAATTAATAAACTCAATTACTAACACATAAAAACAAATGATCAAACCTGAGGTCTCAAGTTTGAAAGTGAAACAGTTTTTAATTATGTTATACACAATACACAGTTAACCTAGATTTATGAATCAACATGAAAAAATGTGAGATAAGAAATGTACTTACCTAACTTTCTATTTTAATAAAGTTGGCCAAATCAAAACATTATTTATTTATTTTACACTTTAATGCACACAAAATAAGGTACATAAGGCGGACTTAATGCCATATGGCATTCAATTATAATAACAAATTATTCAATATTGACCAGTAAACAGACGTTGTTTGTATTTAATTCGTCGAGTACTGTCATTATAGACACAATTAAAGAACAATAGGTTGCGGTCACCGGTGTCCTCGCGGTGTTTGACAGTTTAACTAGCTGTACCCGCAACTTTGTCCATGTGGAATAGTTATTCACAGCTCCTCCCCCATAGGTGATAGTGTGATAATATGTAGCCTGTATATAGACCCAAGTTAGTAATATGCATCTATGCAAAATTTGAAGTAAATCCATGCATCACTTTTTGAGTTCAGCCTTGACATACATACTGACAAAAACCATATTTCTTGTTGATCATGCCCCAAGCATTATTTAGAACAAATATTCAATTAACAGTTTTCACTTTCCTACGACTTTATTATATGTATGTATAGATAACAATAATTCATGGCAGTCCATTTCTTCTTTGAGAACTTTCAGATCTGCTGATCAAGTATATGTTCATTTGAATATTATTATTAACTAGCATCTGCCAGCGGCTTTGTCTGCATTTCTGTAAGATAAAAAGTCTTTAATGAAGGTCTATTTAGTTATAAAGATAAAACGAAAATGATGCATTGAAATTCCAGTACTCTATCTTTTAAATCACTGTACCTATTTGATTGATATTCGGTACAAAACTGATTTGCTATCCGAGAAAGGAGATAGAATAGTTCTAATCACTGGAACCTCATGAGGCGAGCACTGTACGGGTTAAACTTCTATTGTATTGGTTATATTTTAAACCACGAAAATAAATTCATTTCACAATCAATATAACCTAGGTACTGAATCAATTCTGACGACAATTATTACCGTAGAATATTCCTTGGTAAACTAATTCAGAAGCCTTAATTCTGCTAGAAGTCATTATGCTCTGCAGACCAAGTCGAGAGAAATGACATAAATTATGAATGAAAGGCAGTTTTTAACAATAACTGCCTGATAGTAGATAATAAAAAAAAAAACAATGTTCCAACTCAAAGTTCCTCGAGATCCGGGTAGAACAGATGATATAGCTTGCACTAAGGAGAGATATGAGTCCTGTTATACAGGTTTTTTTATATTAGATCGGACGGACGTTTGACCACTATCTCATCTGGTGGTAATATCAGTGGTAGTATCATGTGGCCTATGATGGATCACATTGACTCATAAGCAACCTATTCACTCGGGCCTTGAAGACACCCTTCAGGAAATACAGACTCTGGCAAAGAATTCCACTCCTTAGCAGTATGCTAGTAGGTTGGGGAATGAATCACCATTACACACTGAATATGCACAGTACTGTTTGTAATTGAGGAAGCGTTTAGATAGCATGCACTCCGTGCACTGTCATATCTTATTGTACAGTGGCCAGAATATTAAGCTACTCCAATCTGTCAAATTTATTTGTTAGACTTTCGACTTTATGTCAATATAATAAAGTTGAAGATGTAATAGCCACCATACTATGTATTCCTTACCTGAGATTTCTAGTCTCGGTATTGTACTATATGTATTATTATTGATAAGTTTTAATAACGTCACAATTTTTTTGGTAGAGGTAAGCAGAGGTGATCCACAAATACGATATTGCACCCATAATTCACTTTGCAAATATTTTGTTTTTGATATATTCACACTCAATTTAGGTACTTTATCCGACCTGGTAATCGAACTCGAGTTTGTGTATAAGTAGTAAGTTAGTAGGTAGGTAATTTGTTTTAAACAAGAAGACGAAATATGTAATGTTGACTTGACTTGAGTTGACTGCCTCGTTGGCCGAGTGATCGCAAGTACGACTGCCGGGCCGGTACGACACGGGGTCACGAAGCATTACTGGTTTTTTTTAAAAAATCTCAGTAGTAACACGTAGTCTGGAATTGTGCCCTGTATATGGCAATATACTCACCCCCTATTACATGGGACTCATAACATAAATAGTGAAAAGTGAGTGTTATATTGTACAGTGGTATAATGTGCACCTCTGCCTGCCCTTTCGGGGATAAAAGGCGTGATGTTATGTTATGCCCCGAAGTTCCTACTCCTGTACTTCGAGTCTGAGCCTTGGTAACCCGTTAAGTCTTCCGCTCGCTGGAGGTTAGGCGAGACGTCATTCATTGTTATTTTTAAGATAACAAAGTGCTTTAGTTAAATATAATATTAGTAAGGTTTAAAAAAAATGTGTAACTTTTGAAATTATGATGAAATTGCATACATTTATTATTATGGTTAATTTATTTTTTTACATGATGCAAGTATGACTAAACGGATAGGAAGTAGGTAGGTCAGCAAGGAGTGTCGGGTCCATTCTTTTTTTTTTTACTTATACAATTTACCAAATAATAAAGGTACTTTGAAGTACCTTCGTTGGTGATCCTAAATACGGTTAGGTACGTGGGAACTAAGTATTCAAATACTAATAGCTAAAATTGTTAAGACAATGCACTTTCAATAGGGTAGTTGCCAGGGTAAGAAATATATCGAATTAGTCCGATGTCTAATGCTTAGTATAATTAAAATATATTATTAACCACATAGGTATTTTTTTATTTTGAT